AAAAAAAAAAAAGAAAGAAAAAGAAAAACATCCTGGATAATTGGAATTAAAAATGTTCTTCCCACAGAGTTTCTAGTAATTGCAAAGGTTTAAAACCAATCTTTCAACCAGACGGTTCCTCTCCCAGTTGAAATTTCTTCTTCTTACTGGAATGCAATTGTTTTTAAATCTAACGTCCTGTCTTGAGGTCTCTGTGAGTATTAAATCCAATGGATTGAACCACAGAATCTCAGGGGATTTAAACGGATCCAGACTTTCAATGCTAATTACTCCCTGAGAGGAAGCCCTGTTCACTTTTAGGAAATGAATGGGCCTGCCCATCAGAGTAAGCTAATTACTCTGGGCTGTGGGAAAAAGGTAACCAATCTTCCAGAAGGATTTAGGGGCCTAAAAGAACAAGAACATGCAAATCAAGCTGAATCATTAAAAATTCCATGAGGTCAGGGATCAAGGCCTGTAATAGGCTGATGAATTGAATCTAACTTAATTAAAGCAAAGCACCCACCTCCAGAATGTCTGAGTTAAAGTCCCCGTGCTCTCATTTTCCAGCCTTTTCTGTCAGGCACTATTAGAAATAACAGCACTGTCTTTCCAGACAGACGATCTCAGGAGCTATAGGCATGCTAAATTTAAAGAGTCTGTGGCACATCCAAGTGGCAATGTTCACTAGCCTGTCTGGAATGCAAGGCCCTGGGTCAGAGCTAGGAACATAAACTTGGCCGTCATCTGTATAAAAAGAGAAAGGCTGAGTAAAGCCATGCAAGGATGAGCTGGCCCATGGAAGGCAGAGAGAGTAGCGTGACTAGGTTAGTGTGGTGATTAAGATCAGAGTTCCTGCTCCACACTTCTCTAGTTTGCTCTCGGGCATATTATTTAACTCTTCTAATGCTTCGTTTTCTAATCTGAAAAATCTGGTTGATCATCACAGCTTCCTTAGAAAATTGTGGCTATCTGAGCCAATATACGCAGATTCCTCTAATCTGCTCAGAGCGCATTCTCCTAAATGTTACCCATTACTATACAGGGATGGGCTAGGACAGTGGCCTGAGGCATGTCCACAAGGAGGAAGGAGGAGCAGTAGAGAGAGGAGAGGGACTGAGGCCAAGAAGGAAGGAGTGGTCAAAGAGGTTAGAGGAAAGGTAAGCCTGGGATTAAAATGATTCCTTGATAAAGGGGTCATTCTGACAAGACCACAGGTGTTTAGCATGGAAGCCAGACAGACCATTTCCAAAGCAAAACAGCAATGCCAACATTAGATGAAATCCAGTAGCCAAAGGATACCTTAAAAAAGGGTGAAAAAAATGGTCAAAATAAACTTTTATTTAATTAATATTGTTAGGAATACCAAAGCAATACATAACCAATGGAGAAAACCTGGAAAACAAAGATAAATAAAAAGAAGAAAAGATGTATTGCTTATTCCACCTTCGAGAGAGATCTATGTTTTTTCTGTGTATTTATAAGAGGTTATGGCATAGTCTATATTTGTCCAGTATTTTGAAATCTAATATTTAAAGATACTTGAGGCTTGGTGCCTGTAGCTCAAGCAGCTAAGGTGCCAGCCACATACACCAGAGCTGGCAGGTTCGAATCCTGCCTGGGCCTGCCAAACAACAACGGCAGGTGCCTGTAGTCCCAGTTACTTGGGAGGCTGAGGCAAGAGACTCACTTAAGCCCAGGATTTGGAGGTTGCTGTGAGCTGTGACGCCATAGCATTCTACCCAGGGCAACAGCTTGAGGCTCTGTCTCAAATAAATTAATAAAGATACTTGAAGAAATTTTTAAAGAATATCCTAATGATATCAAGCTATACTAAATAAGACTTTTTTGGCTGAGCATGGTGGTTCATGCCCCAAATCCCAGCACTTTGGGAGCCTGAGGCAGAGGATTACTTGAGGCCAGGAGTTAAGATTATCCTGGACAATATAGTGAGGCTCCATCTCTACAAAATTATAAAATAGGCCAGTTGCACTGGCTCATGCCTATAATGCTAGCACTCTGTGAGGCCGAGGTGGGAGTATCACTTGAGCTCAGGAGTTCAAGACCAGCCTGAACAAGAACAAGGCCCTACCTCTACTAAACATAGAAAAATTAGCCAAGCATCATGGTGGGTGCTTATAGTCCCTGTTACCTAGGAGGCTGAGGCAGGAAGATCACTTGAACCCAGGAGTCTGAGGTTGCAGTGAACTAGGCTAATACCATGACACTCTAACTTGGGCAAAAGAGTAAGACTCTGTATTTAAAAAAAAAAAAAAAAAAAATATATATATATACACACACACGCACACATATATATACACACACTACATATATACATATATATATATATGAAATAGCTGGTATGGTGACACACACCTACAGTCCTAGCTACTCAGAAGGCTGAAGCAAAAGGATTGTTCAACCTCTGGAGTTCAAGGTTGCAGTGATCTATGATCATGCTACTGCACCAAAGCTCTAAGTGATAGAAAGAGTGAAACTTTATCTGTAAAAAAAAAAGAAAAGAAAAGAAAAAGAAAAAGAAAGAAAGAAAAACTTTGTCATGAAATTGAGACAAAATATAATAAGCCTTTCTAATTTAAGTATATCAGAAAATCTAGAAGCCATAGAAGAAAGTTTATAAAGTTTGCTTCATATAAATCTAAACTTTCTTCATGGCAAGAAACACTATGAACTAAGCAGAAAGTTGAATGAAAAACAAAAAATTGCCTTTTGGAGTATATCAAGAACCCCTTCAAATCGATAGAAAGGATCAGTAGCCAACAGAAAAATAAAGTATATGAACATTGAGTTCATGAAAATGAAATAAAAATGGTTCTCAAATATCTGGCCAGATGCTCCCTCTTACTTATAAGGGGAAGAAAAATTAAAACTACCCTGAAATATGTTTTTTCCTCATCAGTCTGGCAAAAATTAGGAAGACTGGTAGTACCATGTGCTGAAAAAAGTCTGAGGAACAGATGTTCTCACACTTGGGTGAAGGAGTGTTAAATCAGTACAACCCCTGTCTCTGTCGAAATCTCCCGTATCCTTTGAGCCAGCTATTTGATTTCTAGGAAATTATTAATAACTGGCCAATACCTCATTCACTGGTATGAAGCCACACATGGACGAGATTATTCATTGTAGCTTCAGATGTAACAAAAAAAGATGGGAAACAACCTAAAATTCCATCAGTGCAGAACAGGTTAAAGAAGCAGAATGCCAGGACTAAAAAGGAAGAGGCAGCCCTGTATCTCCCAGTAAGAGACGATTGCTAACATACGTTCAGTAAAGAAAGCAGAGTGCAGAACGGTGTAATTAGCTTACCATCGCTCATGGAGAATAAACATAGTATTCATGGGAAATATAAATTTTTTTGACAGGAAGTAGGATTTATTATTGGTAGGCACAAATGATAGGAAACCCAGTGTAAGTCTTCATGAGTGCAGGGCCCGCCACTTCTCCAGGGGGCCCCAATTAGGCATGTATTTGACCGCACAGCCATCTGGGATGAGCGTTTCTCAGCTACCACGTCTTCAAATTCATCTGTGTTAAACTTCGTAAAACCCCACTTCTTGGAGATATGAATATTCTGGTGGCCCGGGAACTTGAACTTAGCCCTGTGAAGGGCCTCAATCACATGCTCCTTGTTCTGTAGCTTGGTGCAGATGGACGTGATGACTTGCTGGCCACAGTGTCGTGGGGCTTTCCAAAGGCACCACACATTCCTGTCTGGAGCCTACACTGGGGACAGCACAAGGTCTAACACATGAACATGTACTGGAAGGAATGTCTCCAAGGTCCCTTAGAGCAACCCATACAAGCAACAGGCTGCATACACTACCAAGGAGGCTGCTGTTTGCAACCATTGCACACCAGGAGATAAATACAAATATCTTATTTATAAATTCTTGGAGTATTTCTAGAAGGAATCACAAGAAACTAGTGACAGTAGTTGCCCCCATTGTCTTGGGCATGGTGGAAGTGACTTGTTTTTCACTGAGTACCCTCTGCTTACCTTTTGAATTTCATGCCATGGGTATGTGTGACCTATGCAAAAACTAGAAACTTAAAACAATTTAAAACAAAATAATGTCTATGAGCCACTTTCTATGCCTTTATCTTTTGATGGCCATCTCTGGCTTTTTAAACTGTCTATCCCATTCTTGCTTTGCCACCCTCAATTCTTGTCCCTTTTTTTCCCTCTTACATCCACCTCCATCTAATACAGTGGTTCTCAATCTTCCTAATGCCGCCAACCTTTAATACAGTCCAAAGGGGTCACAACCCACAGGTTGAGAACCGCTGATCTAATACAGCAAAACTAACCACCAGCAATTAGCATCTACTGACAATTTAGTATATACCAATAATTGTGCTTCATGGATAATGATTTCACTTAATTCTCATAACCACCCCCAGATGGTTTTTATTTGCCGAAGTTTACAAATGAAGAAACTCAGCCACAGGGAATTGAAGCACTTCGCCCAAGTAATAAATGATAGAGCTGAGATTTAAACCAAGGCTGTCTCTGCAAGCCATACTTTTTCTAGTAAACCATACTGTCTAGGATATGGAATAAGTACATATATATGTGTACATATATAATTTTGGAATAAAGTATTATAGTCTTTGTTTCTAATTTGCAAATCAAATGAGTTCAATATTTTATAACACTTTTAAAAAGCACCCATACAAGACAAATTAAGCTGTGCCTTACTTCCAAAACCTTTGGTGATATTTTTCAACACATAAATTGCAAGGAGACTCCACCTTTCACTACCAAAGTGCTCAAAACTGTGCTATTTCTTGGCATAAGAAAGATGAAGTCCTCAAGAACTTTTCTTATAGTCCCCCCAAAATAATAATAATAGCTCATTTTTATTGGGCCAGGCTGGTGCTAAGCACTGGGCTCCAACAACTATATGATATAGGTACAATTGTTACCCCCTTACAAAAGGAAGCTTGTAAATTACAGAACAAGGATTTGAACCCAGGCAGTTTGACGCTAGAGCCTGGGCCATCAAGCCACTGCCTGGAAACAGACTAGTACAGTACATGACTATGTGAGTGAGCCCCTAGGAAAACCTGCACTGTTCTTGGAAATGCATCAGCAGAGCCTTCCGGGAGAATGGAGGCACGCTCTGTGTCTCAACAGTAGTTCAGAACATAGAGACGTCACGGCATCCGCAAGATGTCATTCTACCCTGCGCTGAAACTGAGAAGACTTACATGCTTTGGAAAAAAAAAAAAATTGTAACACAGAGCCCCATGTGACCTGCCTGGGAGCTGTGCCATGAAATAGAACCAAATTGCTCTCAGGGAGTTTTATATTTTACTCAATATTCTGAAGTTTGGCTATAACCTAAACGAGTATCAACCGAGTTCCTGTCATTAGTGAGTACTGTAAGAAGAGCACAGGAGATTGGATTTAATGACAATGTTTGTTTTTCTAATGCAACATCCTAGAAATACGTAACAGAACTGTAGCAGAGATGAATCAGAAGGAGGATGCAGTACCAGAGGCCATGCCAAGAATAATAGTAGAAGTGATTCCCTGTCATTCTGGTACAGTTAAGAGCAGACTTAGGATCTAAGAACCAGCAATCCCTTAGAGACCCTACGAACCCTTCAGGGCTTTCCTCATCCTGTCCACTCAGGGCTCAAAGTCAGCCTCTTTATTCATCAGCTCTGGTTGGGATGGAATAGTGACAAAGCAGAAATCTCAGGCCCCCGGCTGCTGCTTTTCAGCCTCAGATCCCCTCACTGTCCTCCTGACTTGGCCTGTGGGTCTAAAGAGCTAGGCTCGGCCTCTGCCCTGATCCACCAAGGCACGATCCAGTACATGGCTGAAGAAAACCCAAGGGCATCTAATTCTTTTCTGTGAACACCCTAATCCTCCCTAACTCAGTTGTAGCCTGTGCCTATCTGTTTATAAAAGTAGCAGCCTTCCTGTAGTCTGAGCTACTTGGGAGGCTGAGGCAGGATTGCTGGAGCCTAGGAGTTTGAGGCTGCTGTGAGCTAGGCTGACACCACTGCACTCTAACCCTGATGACAGAGCAAGACTTTGTCTTTAAAAGAAGAAAACAACAGATAGCAGCCTTCGTTTGGGGGCATAAAAGCAGCATATTTTGACCAGAACAATCTCTTTCCTTAAAAAGCTTTATGGTTAATTGCCTCTGAAATGAGACAAGATCAAATGGTCTTTACTGCTTTTGATACATCCTTTTCTTATACTCTCCAAATAGTACTCATACGATAACTCATCCCTGGATTGAGTTGGTTTTGCCTTCAAAATATCCCTCTGTTTCCTTGGGCCCCTGGGTCCGCTGGATGATATTAACAACTGGTTGGGGAGCAGAGGGAAGAGAGTGCTCTGATTTGTAGCATTTGCCAGTTTCTGTGGTGTCTAATTTCAAGCTACCATGGGGAGTCACTGAATGCAGAGTTGGGAAGAGTTAGGTGCATCTGGATCTCTTGAGCCTAAGCCCACCAGCTCCTGCACACACCCCCCCCCCCGCCCCGGCCTGGTGTCTATCTGCTCTTATGCTGAGACAGGAAAAGTGACTCCCTGTAGTTCTGGTACAGTTCAGAGCAGAATCACGCTCCAAGGCCTCCAAGGCCACCTGCCTGACTCCAGCCACCAGGGGTCTTCTCTTGCCCACTCAGATTAAATACTATCATCATGTCAGTGACCTGCTTAAACCATGTTCCTTGGCTCCCTATTCCCTCCACGTCCACCTAGCTTTCAGTTGTCCCCCACACTCATAATCTGGTCCTACCAAAGGATGCTAATTTCAACAAATAAAAATACAAGATGCTCAATTCAATTTGAACTGTAGATGAATAAGCATATGCTTTTTTTAGCACAAGTATGCAATATTTGGAATATACTTACACTAAAAAATTATTTGTTGTGTATCTGAAGTTTATCTTTGCAACTTGTATTTTATCAGGCCACCCTACCCCTAATCCCCCCAGCACATTTCACCTCTTCTCCCAAACACCAACAAGCTTTTTCATGATTCTAGAATCCTAGATGATCTTAGGTACTTAAGTCATTTAACCTCTCAGAACTTCAGTTCCTCATCCATAAAGTAAGGATAAAATAGCCACCTCCACAGAGTGAAGTTTAGATGAATTAACATGTATAAAGTAGTCCAGGTCCTGTCATTCAATAAATACTTGATTGATCCTACATGTCAATCCTCAATTACTCAAGTAACTTAGAAGGAAAATAATACTGTGGTTATAGAATTTAAAGGCCAGGAGTCCTTCCAGGACTCAACCTAGTACGTCCAAACTATCCCAAATTAGTGTTGACAATTGTATTTTTAAAGAGATTGACCCCAGGGTAGGAAGGTGGGTTATGGTGGGAGTACTGAAAAATCCAGTAGTAGCCCGCTACAGAATCTCAGAGTTCTCAAGAGAAACCATGGGGGAACACAAAAACACCTTTCCTGACTATCATCAGAGGATGCTATCCTCTTCTGCTCCCATAGGAGATAGTTTCTCTTGTACAAGCAACACAACCCCGACAGGTAAGAGAGAGGTGACCTGAAGGATGCAGCCAGAACTAAAGGTGGAAGGAAAGGAGAGAAGCGTGGCAGGAGTGCAAAAGCCTTATGGAGGTATAGAGTGCTTTTTGTGCTTTGTAAAACAGAGTCCAATAAGAAATTTCAAGGTACTAGACGTAATGAACCACATGATGAGGAGAGGTGATGGCACCATCATCCATGACAATTCTCCATATCTACTGCCACCAAAAGCAACAAGCTACTGACGCCCCTGGTGAAGCCCCACCAGAGCATGGCTGTGTCCCAGAACCAGGTGGAAGCAAGCGTCAGCTGAACTGAACGCTCATATTCATGATGCTGGGCAACCGGCAATCAATCAATCTCTAAATTGATTTAGGAATTATACTACTCCAGGAATAACTGACAAGTTAACCTCCCAGGAAACCCAGTGACTATTTTAAATGCATCTCACCCTCATTAAGACATGAACCCTTTGCCTGTGCCTTACGAAGTGGATGGCATGCACATGCAAGTCATCTATAAACCTCACTTGATTTGTATCAGAATGTTTATTGCAGCCCAATTCATAATTGCCAGGTCATGGAAGAAGCCCAAGTGCCCATCGATCCACAAATGGATCAATAAACTGTGGTACATGTACACCATGGAATACTATGCAGCCCTACAGAAAGATGAAGACTTTACCTCCTTCATGTTTACATGGATGGAGCTGGAAAATGTTCTTCTTAGCAAAGTATCACAAGAATGGAAGAAAAAGTATCCAATGTACACAGCCCTATTATGAAACTAATTTATAGTTCTCAAATGAAAGCTACAACCTAATTCTAGCCAAAAAATATGGGGAGGGGAGAAGGAAAGATGGGTGGAGGGAGGGTGACTGGAAAGATCACCTATATGGTCTGTCTAACAACGGTACAAGTGAATTTCTCTAGAACTAGAGTATAAATGTTTTAACACAATAACTAAGTAAATGATACAAAGTCTATGTTAACCAGTTTGATGAAAATATTTCAAATCGTATATGAAAACACTACACTGTACCCTATGTTTGCATTAATGTACACAGCTATCATTTAATAAAAATAAAATCAATTGTGGAATTATAAAAAAATTAAAAAAAAAATAAACTTCCCTTGATGTTTCCCTTCTGAACTCTGTTATTCTATAGCCATTATTTACCCACCTCCACCTGGAGAATTACCCAGAATATTATGCATACAAAGAAATATAAAAAAGAAAAGCTGTTTATCAAACACTATATATGACACACACACACATATATACACACAAACATATGTAGGCATGTATACGAAATATATCTCTCTCTCTACATGGAAAAATGACTAGAATGATTACACCATAATGATGACAATCATTAC